GACTCTCTACAGTGTTTTTGTCATAGCACATGCCTCATGCCACACCAGTCCTTATCAGCAGTGAGCCTGGTTACTTAGATTTAACCTATTTCCTGGTATAGGGTTATTATGTTTATATTCTGGTTATTTTTCTCTTCTCGTTCCTTCTCTTTCCTTTTTCACTCAGAGTATGAGATAACTGGTGATAACGTGGAGAGTGTGAGTGAGACACCCCAGATATTGTTTTTGACAGGCATGGACTCCATACATGGAAACCCCCCAGTTCACTGAGTCTACCTCTGTCTGTCTCCACTCGACCCGCCTGCCTAACAATAACACTGAATAGCCCAATAGATACACATCAGTTGTTTTGTCTACTCTACCCCAGTCCCCCTCCCTCTAGTCTAGTCTACAACCAACCCCCATTCCTATAATCCATAGACCATACAGACAGTCTGGTTGCTGGTTGCTAGGCAGACGCTGGCTATGACGGTTGCCAAGGGAACACTGTGCAGCAGACGCAGCTCTGTGTTGGGGGTTGGTTGTTGTCGGAGTAGAGGGGGTAGGAGCTACCAAGTTTAAGGCCAACGTCTCCCCAAGATTGTCTGACTGACGGTGGTGTGGTAACAAAGAGAGGGGGAGGGAAGGAGAGGGTGAGAGAAGGAGAGGGGGATGGAAGGAGAGAGGGAGGGAGGGAGAGGGGAATGGAAGAAAAGGGGGGTAGAAGAAGGGATGGATATGAATCTGTTCTTTCTTGATCTTTTCCAATTGATTCCTCTATTCCATGTTCCCAAAAGGGCTTCTCCATGGCATATGTAAAAGCAATTATGCAACACTGTGAAAGAATTTGTCTGCAGGTGGACACTGTTGCTGTCTAGGCCTATTTTAATGAACATATGCACACTAAAAAGTGGCAAGAAAAAGCATTTGAATTGGCATTGGAATTGGATGGATTCCAACTGGATATTGGAGTATACAGTCAGATCTACTGTCAGATACCCTCCTGTCTTCTTTGTGTGTGTAGGGTTAGTAAGCAAAATGACTAACCAGCACAGAGGACTTTGGAGTAAATGCACCATGGGCTGACCAATGCTATAGTCCATAAATTGCAACGGGTTAAACGCTCTACTGACACTGATAACGATACTATTCACACTTGAGTTTATGACCTCTCCTCTTTTGTCTTACAGAGATAGAAACTCACTCTACTCAACACTACTTGTCGGATGTTTATTGGAGGCAATGAAGAGATTACCATATGAAATTGAAGAATGGCATTGTGTGTGTGTGTTGAGACAGGCATCAAGTAATAAGCAATAATAGGTAAATACAACAGCCAATATTGGTTGACTTCAAGGGTCCTCAAAACTATTTGATGCTTGATGTCTATGAAGAAAAGGATTTTGATTGTGTTCATGTGTCTTTCACCCTTGCAGTGCAACCGGTTAGTTTACAAAATCCATATATCCAAAAATGCTTAAAGGCAATATGATAAGAAGTAATTCCATTTTCCCCCATTTTCATAACTCTGAAATGGGAGATCAAATGGACAGCAGTATTGTATTAGAGAAAATGTGAGGGAATAACCACTTCTATTAAATGTGTGATAATGTTCTACCATTGAAAACAACATCATTGCCTTCTCCAGTGGCTGTTATTTTCTTATCTCCAAGGTCATTCTGAATGGCAGGCCTGCTCTATGATACAATAGAGAAAACACCATGGACAGAGAATAAAAACCCATTCAGAGTGCCAATAGAATAACTGAAGCTGTCCTTGACTATAGTTATCTATCACCATGGACATCCAGAGAGACTCTTGTTGTTATAAAAATCTCCTTGGAAACAGCTTGTCTTATTACATAAAACAGAGCTTCAGGGCTCAATCGTTATGTTCCCTATGTAATCCAAATGAGTGTCCTTGCGAGCCAAATCTACATTGAGTGTTCAAAACATTAGGAACACCTTCCTAATATTGACTTGTAACCCCCCTCCCGCCCCCATTTTGCCCTCAGAACAGCCCATGTTGACTCCAATGCTTCCCACGTTTGTGTCGAGTTGGCTGGATGTCCTGTGGATGGTGGACCATTCTTGATACACAAGGGAAACTGTTGAGCGTGAAAAACCCAGCAGCGTTGCAGTTCTTGACACACTCAAATCGGTGTGCCTGGCACCTACTACCATACCCCCTTTAAAAGGCACTTACATATTTTGTCTTGCCCATTCACCCTCTGAATGGCACACATACACAATCCATGTCTCAATTGTCTCAAGGCTTAAAAAACATTATTTAACCTGTCTCCTCCCTTTCATCTACACTTATTGAAGTGGATTTAACAAGTGACATCAATAAGGGATCATAGCTTTCACCTGGTCAGTCTATGCCATGGAAAGAGCATGTTTTGTACACTCAGAATATATATATATATACAGTATCTCACAAAAGTGAGTACACCCCTCACATTTTTGTAAACATTTGAGTATATCTTTTCATGTGACAACACTGAAGAAATGACACATTGCTACAATGTAAAGTAGTGAGTGTACAGCTTGTATAACAGTGTAAATTTGCTGTCCCCTCAAAATAACTCAACACACAGCCATTAATGTCTAAACCGCTGGCAACAAAAGTGAGTACACCCCTAAATGAAAATGTCCAAATTGGGCCCAATTAGCCATTTTCCCTCCCCGGTGTCATGTGACTCGTTAGTGTTACAAGGTCTCAGGTGTGAATGGGGAGCAGGTGTGTTAAATTTGGTGTCATCGCTCTCACACTCCCTCATACTGGTCACTGGAAGTTCAACATGGCACCTCATGGCAAAGAACTCTCTGAGGATCTGAAAAAAAGAATTGTTGCTCTACATAAAGATGGCCTGGGCTATAAGAAGATTGCCAAGACCATGGAACTGAGCTGCAGCACGGTGGCCAAGATCATACAGCGGTTTAACAGGACAGGTTCCACTCAGAACAGGCCTCGCCATGGTCGACCAAAGAAGTTGAGTGCACGTGCTCAGCGTCATATCCAGAGGTTGTCTTTGGGAAATAGACGTATGAGTGCTGCCAGCATTGCTGCAGAGGTTGAAGGGGTGGGGGGTCAGCCTGTCAGTGCTCAGACCATACGCCGCACACTACATCAAATTGGTCTGCATGGCTGTCGTCCCAGAAGGAAGCTTCTTCTAAAGATGATGCACAAGAAAGCCCGCAAACAGTTTGCTGAAGACAAGCAGACTAAGGACATGGATTACTGGAACCTTGTCCTGTGGTCTGATGAGACCAAGATAAACTTATTTGGTTCAGATGGTGTCAAGCGTGTGGCGGCAACCAGGTGAGGAGTACAAAGACAAGTATGTCTTGCCTACAGTCAAGCATGGTGGTGGGAGTGTCATGGTCTGGGGCTGCATAAGTGCTGCCGGCACTGGGGAGCTACAGTTCATTGAGGGAACCATGAATGCCAACATGTACTGTGACATACTGAAGCAGAGCATGATCCCCTCCCTTCGGAGACTGGGCCGCAGGGCAGTATTCCAACATGATAACAACCCCAAACACACCTCCAAGACGACCACTGCCTTGCTAAAGAAGCTGAGGGTAAAGGTGATGGACTGGCCAAGCATGTCTCCAGACCTAAACCCTATTGAGCATCTGTGAGGCATCCTCAAACGGAAGGTGGAGGAGTGCAAGATCTCTAACATCCACCAGCTCCGTGATGTCGTCATGGAGGAGTGGAATAGGACTCCAGTGGCAACCTGTGAAGCTCTAGTGAACTCCATGCCCAAGAGGGTTAAGGCAGTGCTGGAAAATGATGGTGGCCACACAAAATATTGACACTTTGGGCCAATTTTGACATTTTCACTTAGGGGTGTACTCACTTTTGTTGCCAGCAGATTAGACATTAATGGCTGTATGTAGTGTTATTTTGAGGGGACAGCAAATTTACACTGTTATACAAGCTGTACACTCACTACTTTACATTGTAGCAAAGTGTCATTTCTTCAGTGTTGTCACATGAAAAGATATACTCAAATATTTACAGAAATGTGAGGGGTGTACTCACTTTTGTGAGATACTGTATATATATACAGTACCAGTCAAAAGTTTGGACACAAGATTTTAGATTCTTCAAAGTAGCCACCCTTTGCCTTGATGACAGCTTCGCATTCTCTCAAATAGTTTCATGAGGAATGCTTTTCCAACAGTCTTGAAGAAGTTCCCACATATGCTGAACACTTGTTGGCTGCTTTTCCTTCACTCTGCGGTCCACTCCTTCACTCTGCGGTCCAACTCATCCCAAACCATCTCAATTGGGTTGAGGTCGGTTGATTGTGGAGGCCAGGGCCCGTATCCTTAAAGATTCTGAGAATCCTCTCAGAGAGCTCCTAACTTAACCTAAAAATTCCTTGCCAGGAGTTTTAGCTTAGAAGTGATTCCAGAACATTTTCAGTGAACTCTGAGCCAGGAATGGATGAAAAATCCTATCTTAGTGAGGAGGTGTGGTTGACCCTGTTGCTAGGTATGAGTCATCATTTCAAAAGCCGTGATTGGTTGATCCTACAAGTTTGATGAAAATGAACTTTTGGTGATAATGAGCAAAGGATGTACCCTCAAATCAATAAACATAATTATACACTCTAATCTTATGCAGACTATAATTGTAAATAATATTTCACATTCAAGAAAATATCTGGAAAATGAATAGTAAGCTGTAGGGGTTATAGCCTAACATTAGAATCTAAAATATGTGAAAACTTAAGCTCATTACACCCTGTTCAAATAATGATTTGTGTCTCATTTGCTCATATTAATATCCTAGCTGGCATATTTTGTACTTTCACTTCCATATGGACCCCATTGAAAACAAGATGGCCTATCTCAAGGGGCTGTCCTTAATGAAGTAGAAATTGCAACGTTACAACTCAGTGTGAACTTAACGAGGGTAACACAGCTCAGCTTTTAACAATGTCTGTGATTGCTGGCTGGTCTATTTATGAAGGCTTGTTAACAAATATCCTACAAACACAGAAAATGGAGAAAAAAAGGAATCGCAAGCCGAACTGGACTGAGGAGCAAGGTTTGTTGCTGGCCCAGTTGGTGAACGAACATAAAGGTATGTTACGAGGAAAATTTGGCCCAACTGTCACTAGCCAAGGCAAGAGGCGCGCCTGGGACACAATATCCCAAACAATCAATGCCTCTTTTCCACTGGTGGTGCGGACAGGCGACGATTGTGAGAAAAGGTGGTATGTGCTGCAGTCCAAGGCAAAAGATGAGATTGCAGCACACAAGCGGGAATCCTCACTCACAGGTGAGCAAAATACTATGGCCTACCACATAATCTGGCAATTTGCTCCTGCTGGCAAAGTTAATTTACATGCCTAAGTACTGTGTTCATTGACTGTTTCTTTCTAGGGGGTGGACCACCTGCAAAGCGGCTGTCCCAGGTGGCCGACACTGTCTTTCAAGTCCTGGGACACTCTGAGGTCAGTGTCACCGGGCTGCCAACAGGCATTGACACGTCAATGATGCAGGCCCTTGAAATGCAGCAAAGGTAGGACACAGGGTTATTCATATCAACAGTGTTTATTCATTGCAGAAGCCATTTCATGTGTTATCCATGCTCATTGTATTAAATTAATTTAATCAAAACAATAATTAAACTAGGCCTATGTATTTCTGTAGCATGGAGCCATCACAAGAACCGGGCCCATCAAGTTTGCCGCCTGAACCATCTGCAGCTGCTACTCAGGATAGCCCGGCGGATCAAACACCATTCCCATCCGCAGCACCTGCTCCGTCAGCATCCCTGCAGGAGAGAAGATTGCAACTCACAATTGATGTGTTTGAACAACAAAAAAAAGTCCTTTCCCTTCAGGAGGAGTACTACCGCCTTAAAATTGAACACCTAAAAAATAAACCATTTAGAGATTGTGTTCTGTGTCTTGCATTTAACAGTTGCAGGTGATGTGCAGTAAAACTGTGGTAGTTCTTAATACCATCACAAGTTCTCAAATGACATGGGGCTACAGCTTGCCTGAAATGTAAATTTGTGAAGTTTGCCCTGTAAGGCAGTCCACTCTGGGCTAGGTTCCCCTGTGGAATGTGAATATCTTCTTCACCACCATCCTCATCGTTGTCTCCATCCTCATCCTCATCGCCATCCTCCAGAGGTTCTGCAATCTGTCTAACCTTGCAAATATTGTGTAATATTGCACAGGCTATGATGAGTTTGCTGACTTTTTCAGGCCTCAGCCGCACCTCTCCGTGGAGAACATGAAAGCGCCTCTTAAACTGGCCTATGCCACGCTCCACCACCGCTCTTGTTGTCTTGTGGGCCCTACAATAGAATACAGACCTTTAATTATTTGATGGAAATATTGCACTACTTGGATGCTCTAACATATTGCTTGCATTTCATTTCCATGATTTTTGTATTGTTTGGCTTACCTGTTATAGTTTAGTTGGGGCCCTTGGCGTGGCTGGAGGTAAGGTGTAAGGAGCCATGGTTTGCATGGGTAGCCACTGTCCCCTAACAAGTGGCAATTAGCTGGCACATAGCGTCTCTCAAAAAGCTGTCTGATGCCACTCTCGGAGAGCATTCTCGCATCATGTGTGGAGCCTGGCCATTTAGCCACAATGTCCAAAATCTTCCAGGCCGCATTGAACACTATTTGCACATTGATGCTGTGGAAATTCTTCCTGTTAACAAAGACAGCCTCGTCCTCTGATGGCGCAATTATTCTCACATGTGTTCCATCAATTACACCCACAACGCCAGGGAATCCTGCAATGTCCATAAATGCCCTTTTATGTGTGTGTAAAGTGCGGGCATCCAGCGGGAATGAAACAAATTGTGTCACAATATTAGGTTGTGACAAAGCTGTCAGTGTTTGGGTGATGACTCTGCTGACGGAGGATTGGGACAGACCCAAGTCATCACTGCTGCATTGTTGCATTTTCCCTGTTGCCAAATACCTCAGGGTTGTGATTACTTTCTTCTCCGGTGTAATAGCGTTGTGGCGTCGAGTTGGTGAAGTAATTGCATCTCTAAGGAGATCCACCACAAACATGATTCCTGCACGATCCAATCTGTAGCGTCTCAATAATTCCCTGTCATCCAGTGTTTGCAGGACATCTCTCCTGCCTCCTCTGTTGGCCATTTTGTGCAGCTGCTTAGGGTAACTCCTAAGCCACTAAAAGTCCTCTTCCCTGCTCTTAGCAGATCTCGCCTTAGGAGCCCTTTTAAGCGCTAGGACTCTTGAGGAATAGCTTTTATATTAACTGGGATTTTCGTGTCACTTTTAGGGGAAATTCTAAGAAAACGTCATGCCTCTGAGAATTTTCTTAGAATTTGGCCGCTAGGAGCCACTTTTTGCACAAAAATTCTTTAGAGATACGGGCCCAGGTCATCTGATGCAGCACCCCATCACTCTCCTTGGTCAAATAGCCCTTACACAGCCTGGAGGTGTGTTTTGGGTCATTGTCCTGTTGAAAAACAAATTATATTCCCACTAAGCGCAAACCAGATGGGATGGCGTATCGCTGCAGAATGCTGTGGTAGCCATGCTGGTTAAGTGTGCCTTGAATTCTAGATAAATCACTGACAGTGTCATCAGCAAAGCACCATCACACCTCCTCCTCCATGCTTCACGGTGGGAACCACACATGCAAAGATCATCCGTTCACCTACTCTGCGTCTCACAACGACACGGCGGTGGGAACCAAAAATCTCAAATTTGGACTCATCAGACCAAAGGACACATTTCCACTGGTCTAATGTCCATTGCTCATGTTTCTTGGCCCAAGCAAGTCTCTTCTTCTTATTGGTGTCCTTTAGTAGTGGTTTCTTTGCAGCAATTCAACCATGAAGGCCTGATTCACGCAGTCTCCTCTCCTCTGAACAGTTGATGTTGAGATGTGTCTGTTACTTGAATTTATTTGGGCTGCAATCTGAGGTGCAGTTAACTCGAACTACCATATCCTCTGCAGCAGAGGTAACTCTGGGTCTTCCTTTCCTGTGGTGGTCCTCATGAGAGCCAGTTTCATCATACCGCTTGATGGTTTTTACGACTGCACTTGAAGAAATTTCAAAGTTCTTTAACTTTTCCAGATTGACTGACCTTCATGTCTTAAAGTAATGATGGACTGTCGTTTCTCTTTGCTTATTTGAGCTGTTCTTGCCATAATATGGACTTGGTCTTTTACCAAATAGGGCTATCTTCTGTATAGCCCCCCTACCTTGTCACAACACAACTGATTGGCTCAAACGCATTAAGAAGGAAAGAAATTCCACAAATTAACTTTTAACAAGGCACACCTGTTAATTGAAATGCATTCCATGAAGCTGGTTGAGAGAATGCCAAGAGTGTTCAAAGCTGTCATCAAGGCATCAAGGGTGGCTACTTTGAAGAATCTCAAATATAAAATATATTTTGATTTGTTTAACACTTTTTTTGGTTACAACATGATTCTATATGTGTTATTTCATAGTTTTGATGTCTTCACTATTATTCTACAATGTAGAAAATAGTAAAGATAAAGAAAAAGCCTTGAATGAGTAGGTGTGTCCAAACTTTTGACTGAGGGAAAAAAGTATTTGATCCCCTGCTGATTTTGTACGTTTGCCCACTGACAAATAAATTATCAGTCTATAATTGTAATGGTAGGTTTATTTGAACAGTGAGAGACAGAATAACAACAAAAAAATCCAGAAAAACGCATGTCAAAAATGTTATAAATTGATTTGCATTTTAATGAGGGAAATAAGTATTTGACCCCCTCTCAATCAGAAATATTTCTGGCTCCCAGGTGTCTTTTATACAGGTAATGAGCTGAGATTAGGAGCACACTCTTAAAGGGAGTGCTCCTAATCTCAGCTTGTTACCTGTATAAAAGACACCTGTCCACAGAAGCAATCGATCAATCAGATTCCAAACTCTCCACCATGGCCAAGACCAAAGAGCTCTCCAAGGATGTCAGGGACAAGATTGTAGACCTACACAAGGCTGGAATGGGCTACAAGACCATCGCCAAGCAGCTTGGTGAGAAGGTGACAACAGTTGGTGCGATTATTCGCAAATGGAAGAAACACAAAATAACTGTCAATCTCCCTCGGCCTGGGGCTCCATGCAAGATCTCACCTTGTGGAGTTGCAATGATCATGAGAATGGTGAGGAATCAGCCCAGAACTACACGGGAGGATCTTGTCAATGATCTCAAGGCAGCTGGGACCATAGTCACCAAGAAAACAATTGGTAACACACTGCGCCGTGAAGGACTGAAATCCTGCAGCGCCTGCAAGGTCCCCCTGCTCAAGAAAGCACATATACAGGCCCGTCTGAAGTTTGCCAATGAACATCTGAATGATTCAGAGGAGAACTGGGTGAAAGTGTTGTGGTCAGATGAGACCAAAATCGAGCTCTTTGGCATCAACTCAACTCGCCGTGTTTGGAGGAGGGGGAATGTTGCCTATGACCCCAAGAACACCATCCCCACCGTCAAACATGGAGGTGGAAACATTATGCTTTGGGGGTGTTTTTCTGCTAAGGGGACAGGACAACTTCACCGCATCAAAGGGACGATGGATGGGGCCATGTACCGTCAAATCTTGGGTGAGAACCTCCTTCCCTCAGCCAGGGCATTGAAAATGGGTCGTGGATGGGTATTCCAGCATGACAATGACCCAAAACACACGGCCAAGGCAACAAAGGAGTGGCTCAAGAAGAAGCACATTAAGGTCCTGGAGTGGCCTAGCCAGTCTCCAGACCTTAATCCCATAGAAAATCTGTGGAGGGAGCTGAAGGTTCGAGTTGCCAAACGTCAGCCTCGAAACCTTAATGACTTGGAGAAGATCTGCAAAGAGTAGTGGGACAAAATCCCTTCCGAGATGTGTGCAAACCTGGTGGCCAACTACAAGAAACGTCTGACCTCTGTGATTGCCAACAAGGGTTTTGCCACCAAGTACTAAGTAATGTTTTGCAGAAGGGTCAAATACTTATTTCCCTCATTAAAATGCAAATCAATTTATAACATTTTTGACATGGACTTTTCTGGATTTTTTTGTTGTTATTTTGTCTCTCACTGTTCAAATAAACCTACCATTAAAATTATAGACTGATCATGTCTTTGCCAGTGGGTAAACGTACAAAATCAGCAAGGGATCAAATACTTTTTCCCTCACTGTATATATATATCCAAAAAGGTAGAAGTTTGTGATGCTATTTAACCCCAAACAATGTCCATATATAATCCTCAAAAGGGGGGAAGCATATACATAAAAACAGATTAATTATATGCTTATAAGCATCATTCTGACGATTATGCATGTTTAAGATGTAACACATCATCTAATAGGTCGAAGATTAGGATTTATTGACTAATCTCATTATTTTATCTAGAGTGGTTCATTTGAACACTCATACCCATTGTGATTGATGGGTTTCCTTTGAATGTATTTTGAGGTGAGCTGAATTGGGCCCTGAGTGCTTTTGCTATGAAAAATGACTTGGGGTTGCGTCCCAATGCACCCTATTCCCTATGTAGTGCACCTTTTTTGACCAGAGCCCTATGGGGTCAAAGGTAGTGCACTATATAGGGAATAGGGTGCACCCTTGAATTGAATAGCAGGTTGTAGCTGTGATGTAATTTTAGTTGTCGTGTAATAAATTGTGTGATGACCTCACCCTTGCTGTAATTCTCTCTCTATGCCCCCATCCTGGCTCTTTTACGCACACACACACCTATAATAACATACACACAATGCAATGATACACTTCAATCACATATGGTATGGCATATCTTGTATAGAATCTTGTATCTTGTATCTTGCACACACACACACTTTGTGAGGACTTTTTGGGGACCAACTATTGATTCCCATTCAAAATCCTATTTTCCCTAACCACTAACTCTAAACGTAATCCCAAACCCTAAATGTAAACCTAACCCCAACCCTAAACCTAATTCTAACTGTAAACCCTAAACCTAAAATACCCTTTTTGCAAGTAAGGACAAGCACAATGTCCTCACTTCTCTGAATTTTTGTTGGTTTACTATTCTTGTGAGGACTTCTGGTACTTACAAGCAGTGGCGGCTGGCCGATAGAGGGCGCTAGGGCGCCGCCCCCTTAAATAAAATTATTTAAAAAAATAAAATAAAAAATAAATAAAAATAATAATAATAATAATAAAAACATCAGTATGTCAATATTTGTGTGTTTGAAATATGGAATGCACACAGTAATATGTGTAAGATATGATAGAAAATCATATTCGCAATCGCAACCTTTCCTCTGCCTGTCAAACGCCTCGTCAGCTCTGGGCGATACAGAAAGTGCCCCGAGGAGGCGGGTCTACGTAGCAGTTAAGCCAATTGCTAATTTAAGATATGAATGTATGACATAAAATGTAGCTAATCAGCGATTTTAATTAGAATCCAAGGAGGGCGATTATTTTATCGCCCCAAGCTCGCCCCTGATAAAATAAGGACCGGGCTCCAGTGGCGCCATTTTTACTAGACGACAATGGCGAGCGCAAACGTTACTCCTCCAAGACCCAACCCTAACTCGGTGAAATCTCTCCTCCAAGATCCGTTTGAGAGGAGAACTTTGTCAGAGAAAGTTCGGGTGAAAGAGCTGGGCCCAGATCAACCTGACCTCTCAATCAGACAGCAGGCTAGCGAGAAAGGGAAGCAGTATATGCGCGGCTTCTCCCGTAGCTGGTACACCAGGAAGGCTTGGCTAGCTGGGTGCACTGATGCTAATGCTTTATTTTGCTTTCCGTGCTTGCTTTTTAAAACGACGGGGTCAGATTCAGCATGGACAGGTACCGGAGTGAGGGATATGAAGCACCTGTCAGAGAAGGTAAAGAAACATGAGAACACCAGGGCACACATGGACAACTCTGTAAAGCTAGCTGTATTAGGAAGGGTGAACATTGCTACGCAGCTGGATGACGGCCACAGGATTGCGGTGAGGAAACACAATGAGGAGGTGGATAAAAACAGGCACATTCTATCCAAAATTATCGATTGTGTGAAGTTCTGTGGGGCTTTTGAGTTGGCCTTGCGTGGGCACGAGGAGACTGACTCCTCGGACAACCCCGGCATTTTCCGGGGCTTAGTGGATTTTGTTGCCTCCCTCGACAGTGTGCTGGAGGAGCACCTGAAGACAGCTACCGTTTTTAAGGGCACGTCAAAGACGATACAGAACGAGCTGTTGGAATGTATGCTGTCAGTGCTTAAGGATTACATCCTGGAGGAAGTAAAGAGTGCTGATTTTATCGCCATTCAAGCTGACGAGACGACTGACGTTTCCACCCACTAACGTGTTTCCAGACCATCAGAGACTCTGGGAACTTTGATGCCCCGACTGTCAGAGAGGCGGGGGGCTTTGTGAGGATGCTCGAAGACGAGGCTTTCTGTTTTTTCCTGGCACTGTTCCACAAGATCATGCCAAATGTGGACATGCTTTTCAGCCAGCTGCAGAAGAGGAACATCGACCCTGTCTTCATTAAAGCACTTGTCCAGAGGTTCACAGACAGCATGCTAACAATCAGGTAAATAACTATATTTACTATTGGCTGATAAAGATGTTGTTAGAAAGATGAATAGTTCACTTACAACAGTTTAAAAGCCTAAATGTGTCTGGTCATCAAAGTGAGTGATTATCATAGAGCCGTCACAATTATATTTGTTTTAGTATTTTAAAAGGAAAGAGAAGACACAATCAGACGTTGATAATAATGCAGGAAAGTACTACACAGTTTGTAATAATTATTCAGGTGTCCACCAGGTCAATTTCTAGAAGAGGCCTAGTTGTTATTGAAGATTAACTTTATTGCTAAGTGCACAGCAGAACAAAATGATGTTGCATCCCTCTCACAAATGTAATAGAAAAAGGCTTTAAAACGTAATAACATCAGTTAATTATGTACATCACAGGTTAAAAGCAGTTACTAGACATAGTTTGTGTGTATATACACACTATCTGTCTGTCTGTCTGTCTGTCTGTCTGTCTATATATATATATAAAATTCCTGTACAAATAAGATGACAGACACACACACACAGAGCAGCTCTGGCCGCATGTTTCTTTGTATATAGTTGACCTTAGCATAAAAAATCCAGTTATATATGGTACTCTAGAAAGTCTTAATAGTGTCTTTGCTAATATTACTGTATATATGTTGTTTTGTATCAATTAATTGTTGCAGTTCTGGAGCACATTAACAATTAGTCACATTTAGTATGATCATAAAATACTGTATGCTATTCTTCCAGTCAAAGGTTTGAGTTCATCCACTTGATATCCATTTCTATATTATACATCCTTTTATACAGTGTAAGATTTCCTATAAACTTTATAATAATTTCATGTTATTGTCCACTTTCCACTCTGTTCTGACAGCATGCCTGTTGCGTTGCCTGTTTACTACCAATGGTGAAAAGTTCACTTTAAATGCAAATGAAAGGCTTGGGTTTGTGTAATATGTTTTTGTGTAAGAATGCCTCAACTTTTTAATATTGGCATTAAATAATTACTGAATGTTTCACTGAGCACTGCTGTCCTGCAGTTTGTGTTAAAATATATCGCGATGGTTACAGGAAAAAAAAAGTATGGCACAGCCCCACCGAGAATATTTTTCACCAGCCGCCACTGCTTACAAGTATATTACAACGTGTATACACACACATACACACACACGCGCACACACGCACAGGTAGGCTAAAAAAGCTTGCCTTCACCTTGCCCTTTGGGCAACCTAACCAAATCTTTGACCGAAATCTCATTCTGATTCTGTCTGGCGCTATTCTATTCAGATACTACTGTCCCGGTGGCCCGGTCCTGCCAAATCGTGTTGCATCAGGTCGAAGCAATAAGGATCAGTACGGTGGGGGAAAACAGGGAGCGCGCGCGCCAACAAAAAAGACGTGACGAGGCAGCCTATGAGCTGTTACGCAACCACTGACCCACTAACACACATTCTAGAGGGGAGAGGGAGAGAAACTGGAGCAAGCGCTCAACATAACAGTCGGGACTCAAAGAAAAAGGGGAGACACGGCTACTAGTACGCTACAACCAGACTGACTAACCTCAGAGCAAGTAAAAGGAGCTAGAGCTGCACCGTAAGGTTTTTTTTCTCTCTCAAACAACTGAAACAACTAGCTATTTGATCATTTCTATTGAAAGGAATAGAGGATACGAACCAACTTCAACTGCGGAAGGCGATTGCTTTGTGTCCGGCATTGTGCATTTTTTCCTGGAGACACGTCACTTGTTCGTAAAAGGTACGTTGGAGCACCATTTATGTGTGTACTTCGGTGTAAATGTTCAATTGGTTTGAATGCTGGATAATGAATTATTTAGAATGTGATGTGTTTAAAATTCCTACACTGTTGCGGATTCAGATTCTCATGATGCTTTTAGGAATGGGTATTGTTCACATGCGGGCGACTCGCCCCTACCGGTAGACAGCCACTGTATGTGTGACTTTGACTTATTTGTAGTATTTGTGGTTTATTTTAAACCAATTCCCTTTCACAATTATTTATTCATAGTGTATATTCCTCAAGCTTAGCAAATTCTCAGTTTAATTCAATGCACTGTATTATAAAGTGGTGGGTGCTGTCGTAAAGAGAAGCCGATGCACATTGCTCAATGCGCTCAATGTCAGGTCGGGCGTTTTTTCCCTCATGGTATTTGGTCAATGGATGGATAGTAGGTCCACTGCAATAGATTGGAATATCAACCCGTTTTGGGGGGTGGCCTCTTGCTGTGAAGAGCATTGTCTGGAGTTTGAAGAATAATTGTAGTTTAAAACATGTTTTTTCTTTCTTTACTTAAAAATATTTGTTTAATCGTTTATTTAAATATTTGGTTTATTAACATGCTGCTAAATCTAAATAGTAGGTGTGTGACCTATATTTTATTTATGGTTGTCATTAATAGCTTTGCTAGTTCTAATAATAGACAAGTAGGTTAATTATAGGCAAAGTGTACTGAAAACGAATATAACATTTTCTTTATTCAAGTGCAATAAATTGTCTGCTGGTGCAGGCAAGTTTGTCATTATTGATTTCGTTCCTATCGGTGACCTCCTTTTGTCGTGTTGTAAGTCAGAACCTCAGGCATTCCATGTGCCTGGCGAGGACGTTCGGCCGTCACGTGTAGCTTTTCTCTGGAACTTGGAACAAGAGTTATTACTAGCTATAAGTCTTGCATTTGCACCCTTTCTATGTCATTAGTCATTCTATGTGATAAATATCTGGTCAAAACTAGATATCTCATGGAATTTTGGCATAAAGGATAGTTATAATCATGTTATTACACATCTATAAGCAGTGCGAAGCAGTCTTTGGCTGGCTGAGGGGTGGAATGGCATATGACATAATAGCTATGCACTAGTAAGCTACACAGGAGAATGAGAGGAGGAGAATGCATACAATCAGGGAGTCTTTCATGAGGGCTGGTGGAAAGTATGCAGAATTAATTCATAGACAAAGATCTGCAAGCATATGCCTTGATATTTAAACATTGGGAATATCACACACATATATATATATATATATATATATATATATATATATATATATATATATATATTCTAGAGCTATTTGTATTTGATAGACCTGTTGCAAAGTAAAACCAGGTGTTGCCAATCAAGACTTATGCCCTGAGGTTTCCACTGGCCATATGTTTAACGTTTACCACTAGCCGATACAGGATTTCCCAGAGCCTAAGCAAATGATGTTACAGTCATCTCTAAATCAATACAACTATATTTATATATTTCTTGCAAAACCTGTACTAAAACACTCAAGTCCTATTTAGGTGTAATTACACCAATTATAACAGGTGGTTTAAATCAGGTATTTTCCTCCAGTCTGTATAAAGTTTTTGTTCCCATGGGATCATATTGGGACTAGCTCTATTGCGTAATTAAAATAATAAATCAAAAACAGGACTTGTGTGTGTTGAGTTGGCCAACTCCGGGACATGATGCAATAGAGGGAAACCCCTCAGCCGGCAGAGCAGCAGTCACTGTGAGATTTTTAGGATGCTGCCAGTTGGTCTGTTTACAAAACAGCCTTTCTTTCCCAGTCATTTCAATATTGGTCAAACTAGTCTAACTCAGACTGGGGGAAAGCAGGATGTGTGGAAAGACTCAGAGCTACATTTTGGTCTACAACTCGGTTCACTGTAACGCCCTCCTAACACTTAATCAGGAGGGCTTTTCTTTAACTTTGCCATACTGCCTCTTTGACCGACTTCTAATGAAGTGTGTACCTGCCTGGTATGCGCTGGCCATATAACACTAGAAGGCACACATTTTGGGGGTTCGTAGTACTTAGTTGACTCCTGCCGCTCCTAGAGTTAGCCTCTGTGGAATCCGAAGTAGCTGAACACTTTGGCTGCCCGATAGTGAAGTCACTTTTAGGGTACTTTAATCTAGGCTTTAACCTTGAAGGGTGCATGGATTTACACCTAGCAAACAACACCCTCATTTTATTGCAAGTGAATGGAGAGCAGAAGTCCATGTTACATTATTACAGATCTTTATGGGTAGGAGTTATAGAGTGATTAGTGAGGTTTGGTGCCAACTTTGTTGGTCAATTGGAACTTATTGGCCTATTCAAATTATGTTAAGTACATCATAAATGGACATTGATAAGAACATTAATAAGGAACATTGAACATTAATAAGGTGCATTTCCCTAGAAGCAGACAGAAAAGAAGGAGGTAGCCTCGTCCCCAAGCCCATGTGACAGAGAGGAGGACATGCTTATATAGAACTCAGAGTTGACCTAGAATGTCTTCCTAGATTCTAGTTGCCTTTTCTTAGAAGACCTAAAATGGAGGCGCCCTGACCGGCCTCTCCAGCACGCGTCCATTTATGTGGGTGGCTCATCATGTCTGGGAGATGGAGGGAAAAAGGGATGCTTTGCATTACTCAGTCTTGCCTTTGGGGGGTCAAAGGTGATGGTGAAACGCCTGAGAACTGCTTTGGCTGTGCTAACATTTCCCATCCGTCTTTAACATCTCCCCCCAGCTAAACTCGCTGGTGGTGAAATCCTGGCTGTGAGTGAGTCATTCCTAGGGCTTGATAATTGTGTGGGAAGCAAGGGAGATTCTGGCTTTTGAAAATCTTCAATGCTTTTTTCTTTGTATTATCCCTTTGGGATGATAATTTGGCTATAGCATACAGTATTTACTGCAATATTACAGAGAGAATTCAACCTCAGTGGGTGACCTGTAGGTGTGGCTAATATTTAGCATTAAACAAGCTCTGCTTTGTAAGCTTGTCACAATGACATTCAGAACACGAGCACATCAGCCCGGTCGCTCACAGCTCTATGAAATATGATATGTCGGATTTTGGCATGGAACATGGGTGTGTGCCATCTCTGACGTCAATGCTTATTTTTCTTTTAAAAAATCATATTAAAAAACAAATTGTCTCTAATGCATGCTGTTTATCATCTGCATAGAGATAGCCTAGAGTCTAGAGACCCCTCCCGGTGTCAAAGAGAGTATCCAGGAATTAATGTTGCGTATCACCAGGGGTTTTATAATCCGATTTTGCGCTGCTGACGTAGGCTATTCAAGTTTAAAATAAATAAATAATTACATCGTACCGCAGTGTCTGTAAAATTCCTCTCATGTCGTGTCCACCAATTGAAATCCTCTAAGCCCTCCCCTCCAGCCTTCCTCCCCAATACCCATTCTCTATCACTCTATTTTTAGAGCGCACTATAATCCCTCCCCCTCTCTATTTTCCTCCCTCTCCAGCTCTATTTACCTATTTTATGGCACGCAGTCAAAGACAGAGAGCAAGCTCTGTTTAAATCAAATCACATTTATTTGTCACATGCGCCGGATAGAACTTTACCATGAAATGCTTACTGATGAGCCCTTTCCCAACCATGCATAGTTAAAGAAATAAGAAAAATCAAAATAATAACGCGAGGAATAAAATACACAAGAATGAAGCTATATACAGGGAGTACCAGTACCATATCAATGTGCAGGGGTACGAGGTAGTTGCGGTAGATGAAGATGCGCAGCGCTCCGTTTCTAGGTCAGTGGGACATGCAGTGCGCCCTCTTTCTCTCTCCCCCTCCCTCTTCCTCCCTCCCTCTCGCCCTTCTTTTGATCGATGCGTGGAAACATTGTGACGTTCTAATTTTCTGTTATCTCTCGCTACTTTGTCTCTAAAACATACTACATCCTCTAGTATTATGTCTGGGCGAAAACCAAAACTGAGACAGACAGAAAGATGGCTCAACTGGTGGCTGTGGTGATTCTTTGGGGGGAAGAAAGACAGCAGAGCAAAAGAGGAGGGAATTCCTATCTGACTGTCTCCCACTGAAAAAAAAGACTGAGAAAAGTGTCCAGGAAGGTGTAACCACTAAGAATATTATGCAAATGAGGAAAGGAGGAAGCGAGCTGCCACTGTGAGAAAGATATACTGTAAACTAGTATTATTATGTAATACAAAGGTCATACTCTAGATTGTTATGATGAGGTTGATGCTAGGTCAAGTTGTTATAACGAGGTTGAAACTAGGTCTAGGTTGTTATGATGAGGTTGATACTAGGTCAGGTTGTTATGATGAGGTTGAGACTAGGTCAGGTAGTGTAACCCAGACAAGCTCTATAGCCAGATGAAGTGGCTAGAAAGTACTCTACTTGTACTGAGTTCAGTTAGTGTGTCAGTGTCAGACGGAGTAGAGCCAGCTTTAGATCAGATCCCAAAAGTAAAACCAGACCTTATTTAGTCTTACTTGAGCTATTGTTAGATATAGTGGTGATAGCCTGATAGTAGCGGTAGCAAAGACCAGAAATGAACGGATGAAATACCTAACATTAGAAACAATATTGAATCTATAGAAAAAGAGATAAGAAAACAATATCTGACCAAAAGCTTCTGTTACTGATCTACAGGTTTTCCTGTCTGACCAAAATTGGAATCAATAAGACAGCAACCAATCAGAACAGGCCATCATGATTACCTCAGCGTTCTGTTTGATCTGTTATCAGAATCACAAACGGCAACGGACTCTGTCAATGTTTTGACTGATGCAGTCATGTTGGCTTAGGGAGTTGCTTCAGAAAAAAAGAAACAAGGAGTAATTGTAACACAGGAATGACCTAGATAGATCATTAGGTTGAATCCGCACAGATCTGTTTTTCTGGTGTAGAAATATACAATCTAGATAGGACACACCGTTCCATGTTAAGTGATGCATTATTAATGTCTCTGAATCATCAGTGCAACAGATCTAGAATTAGCGCATTTACGTTATGTAACATCTAGATGAGTCAACTGAACTGCGTATGCAGCAACACCACCGAGCGATGTTGGTGACTTGTGAGAAAAGGGGATGTTGAGCAATGTTTCCCGTGGGTAGGGGCACAGAGTGCACTCGATACATACTAACCAACCGTGGTTGTGTAATACCTGGCAGGCTCTCTAGCTGGCATTTTATAAAGTAACAGAGACCTTGGCTCTCTCCTCTGGTGTGGCCGTTGGGGAGTCACAGCCAGTTGAATAACAAGTCACGTCTGTCTATATGTCAGCTTCAGTACCCACTGTTATGACACACAGACAGACTAAGCAATAAGTCACAAGTTAGTGATTTGCAGAGGTGTATCATTCACCTACATGTTTAGAAGTCTTTGATAGATTATTATAGATAATATTGCCATAAGAGACCAATGTGACCTTACAGCCACATTTACAAATAGCACACCTGGCAACTGATAAAGGTTATAGAGGGACATTATTAGAAGTCGATACATAGACGGTTTGGCCTCCCTTCCCCGCCTTCCCTTTCTCCCTCCCTGAATGCCCGTCACTCAGTAACTGCAGCCCTGGCACTAGGTCAGACTGGCCCTGTTATGTGACTGTCTGGTGCAGCGCTGTTATACAACACTATACAGAGAGAGCTTTAGACACTGCAGCTCAGAACTTCCCTTACCCGCGCCGCCTGCCTAGCACCCTCCGAGCAGAGTTGACCGATATTCCTGTGAGTGGAGTGGAAAGGGTACCAGTCGTGCCGCTGCCCTACTCACCCTCCCTCTCTGTATACATCCGGGCTGGCCCACGTCAATACCCCACCATCTCCTCCACGGAACTCCGATAAGGGTTACGTCTAGCAAAGTAAAGTAGTTTTGAGTATGAGGGATTGTGAAAGGTGATCAAAAGGAATGTTCAGATGCAAATCCAAGATTAAACATTTCTTACATAATGTAATGATTATGTCATAGTAGTGTCAGATTTGCAGTTATGAAGTCATGTGAACTCAAGAATACCCTGAACTAATCGCATCATGAGTTTCTAGGACTGTACGTTTTGTCTAGATCATCACCATTGTACAGTAACATTGAAATACATTGAATGCCTAATGTATGTCACAGTGGGAAGGCACAGTATTTATGGTAACTAATTAATCTTCTCTCTCATATTATCTCTCTTTCTATAGTGCGTTTCCTCGTGAGCGATCTCAGCCTCAAAGGAAAAGTCTTCCAGTAGACGAACTGACCTAATTCACTTCTACATCCTAGAGACTTCAAGGATTACAGAAGAACCTACTTCGAGCAGTTGAAACTCAAATTTCACAAACTTTGTCACGTAATTTAACCAATGAGGTTCAGCCTTAGAGAAGCACAAATACCTCACCCCGAGTTTTTCGCAGATCCTGCGACTTAAAGAGAAAGAAAATACAAATAAGTTCTCTCTCCAACGAACTTTCGTCCTCTCCCTTACCCCCCTTTGCCCTTAATGCCAGATCACCAATCTGGTCAAAAGGACTCAACAATGGAAAGCCTGAATCTTCACTTCGCATCGCCCAACAACAACGACCTGGACATAGACACATACTCTAACTACAGCGAGAGCCTCCCGCCACTGTCTCCCAGACCCGGTGACGATGATGTCCCGCGCCGCCAGACCAAAGGCGGCTCAAAGAACAGCATGTCCAGCCGTCGCAAGCGGGAGTTCATCTCAGACGAAAAGAAGGACGCTTCCTACTGGGAGAAGCGGCGCAAGAACAACGAGGCGGCCAAGCGTTCCAGAGAGAAGAGGAGGATGAACGACATGGTGCTGGAGAACCGTGTGATGGCGCTCAACGATGAGAACAGCCGTCTGAAGACGGAACTCCTGCAGCTGAAGCTTCGCTTCGGCCTCATCAGCACTGCCTCCTACATGGAAAAGAGCCAGCAGCTCTCCAACAGTGGAAACGGGCAGTCCAGTGCTGGTAACCCCTACTTCTCAAGTAGCGGGTACTCCAGTGCCTGTGGTAACACTCTGCTGAACTCCGACTCGTCCGAAGCAGAACAGTCCACCAGAGGCGAACGCCACACCCCACTCCCAAAATACTCCCCAAGAGGATCCCTCTCCGACGGGTGCATGTCTGACGACTCCTCCAGCCCTGAGCCCATGGGTTATGAGATCAAGATGGAGTCCAACGACACTGACATGGATGCTGGTCTCCCTACTGGGATCTCTTTCAACGGTGGCCACCAACACATGTCCCAAGAGGCCGACTGTGCCATGGACTTCCACCACAACCACCAGAACAACTACCACCAGGAGTCTGCCAGCCCAGCACCCCAGCAGGCAGCGGCCCCAGCCCAGAGGAGCGTGATCCAGATGTACCGCTCCCCTAGCTCCTCCTATATGGAGAGCCAGAACCAGAGGCAAGCAGAGGACATGGAACAACAACAGTCCCAGGCCCAACAAAGCAGGCAGTCCGACAACACAGAGACCATCACAGAGGAGGTCCAAAGGTACCGAGCCCGCGAGGAGCAGCAAAGACATCAGGAGACACAGAGAAGCCAGTACAGCTCTTATCAGAACCAAGATGGCGGGCACAAGGAAGGATTCGCCCCAGAGCTCCTTCACCACAGTAGCGAAGAAGGCAACAAGTCAAGCCACTCCTCCAACCAGCGCCACCACAACAGCGCCTATGTCAGTACCCTGGATGAGGAGGAGCCCCCAGTGCTCACGTACGAGGGCGGCCCCAGGGCCGGAGAGGGCTACTACACAGAGTCCCACCCTGGGAAAGACACTTCATCCAGTGATGGTGACCAAAGGAGCTCAGACAAAGAAGGTGGTTCCACCAGCGATGAGGAGTCACCGTCATCTTCGTCTTCCGAGGTCGGAAGCTACAACCAGAGGGCGACATCACAGACGTCGGCGCCACAGAGTCAGAGCGGAGACGATCAGGCCACCTACCTGCCCCACAAGCTCCGCCTGAAATACAGAGCACTGTCCAATCAGGGGGAGGCTCCAAACAGTAGCCCCGCCTCCTCCACATCCCCCTCACCCTCTCATCCCCAGCATCCCTACCTGGCCCTGCCTAGCAACCACCAACATGGCAGCCATAGCAACGGGGAAAGCAAAGAGGCAGAGAACGAGTCAGAGTTCTGCTAGCAGCGGGAAGCAAGAGAAAGAGAGGAGGTGTGGAAGGAACGCAAAAAGGGATCCAGCGCAGGGAGGAAGAATAAGAGGTGTGAATAAGAGAGCACCAAAGACTCTTTGAGATACTGTGACCAACAACCAACCTCAGTTCTGCCTCATCATCAGGTGTCTCTCTCCTGGTCACCACTATGCCAACAGACAGTCCACTTCGATGATAATAATAACAAGGACAAACAAACTGATGTTCACAATCACCACAGACAGATTCAACAGACTTGGTTCACTGTGTCACCATGTTTTTACATGGACCCTTCTCCTTCCCTCACTCCATCATCAATCCAATCCATGAACAATGATAATAATAGATCACTTATTGGTTCAGCAAAGGTGGTGGAGTGAAAAGAATGAGGGGAATGGAATGGATGGAACTCACATTTCTGTGATTCTGTTTCCTTCGGGAAAATACAAACATTACATCACAATGGAAGGTTAGAATGAACGTTGGAATGGAAGGCTGTTTTCAGGCTCTGGTTTGAACTCTCAAGTGGCCCATTTCTTTGTGGGTGGTAAGGCATTCTGGGAACATTCCCATGACCAAAGAAACACGTCCACCCCCCCGACAATGAGTTCCATTCTTCCTCCCCACCAACAAAACAGCTGTACCAGTTTCCATTACTCCCTAAACCCCTATCCCTGCTTTATGCAGAATAGGACACCCAATCATTTTTCAAGCACTTGGATTGTACATAACTGTGATATATAACATGTACATATATTTAAATATATTTTACAAAGAAAAAAAAGAAAAACAACAAAAAATAACAAGGAGAAATGGAAGTGGAAAGGAAAAGCAATCAGTTTGTCCTTGTGAGAAAGTTTTTGTACAGTCCGTTCTCAATGTCATTGAAATGCCTCAAGTTATTTTCTTTAAAGATGTCTGTATGAACCACCGCTTTAAGAAACTCTTTATTTTAGATTCCATGTCACTAGAAAATGCCTGGAGCAACCTAATGTCAATTTACCTTTTACTGACCTCTTACACACATACAGAAAGCCCTTGTCAAGGCCAGTTACGAGCATATCACAAGACTACACACTACACTTTTTGAATGGTAAAACCATGAATACAAAAGCACAGTGCAATCCAGAGCTCAACAAATTCTCAATTAATTAGACTTACTGATCATAGGAATCAAGTAGTAAGTGCACTTGAGAAGCAATGGGGAAACTGCTCTCTTCTCACTCAAAGGTGCTTCTACTTTTCATAGGCCTATAGAACCAATCCCCAATCTTGGCCTTTACATTGAGTTGCTTTATCAGCTGTGGATCAAACAGGCTGTACTAGTTAAACGTCTCACATCCACGTGCCTGCCTACTGGCCGTTCTGTATAAATGTAAAGTTCTCTATCTCTCTTGGATACTGTTATTATTATTATTTTATTATGTTATTATTATAATTGTGATTCTTTTCTATTTTATTCAGTTATTTGGGGGGTTACTGTGTGTTTTTCCGTCCCCTGGTATCTTCCTGATTGTGATACTGTAATGTATGTATTTCACCCATGTCCCTATCCCTTGACATTTGTACTCTGTGATATTGTTCAACGTTTGTGGTTTGCCGGATGGTTAAGGAAATTGATTGTCCAGAAATGGATAATGCAATGGTTATAATGACAACAACTCATTTCGATTGTTGAAAGATTGAAAAGATTGAAAAATAAAAGGATGTTGAAAAATACATTATAAATAAAAAATAGTGTTTCATGTGATTTTTAAACTTTTGTTGCACTCTTTCTGGTCTAATTGTGAAACATCATTCACACAAACACACGATAAAATGGTCGTAAATGGAACACCAGTGAAATTGAGGGAAAAAATTGATATCAATCAAGTTTGCAGATTACTTATGCAGTTTAAAAGTAGACATATATTATATGACATAAAACATATACAAGTAGAAAACTCCCCAAAATATGATTTATTACAGGACACATCTTAGCACAGAACACACTGATCATTTCGACTCTGTCCTGTCTGTACTCCTATAAACACAGCTAGAAATCTGCACAGATACAACATAAATATCTTCAGTATTTTAGTGTTCCTCCCCTCTTCTCCTCCGTCCAGTACTGTACTGAACGAAACTTTTAAAACGAGGCCGTTAAAATCTACACACATACAAATAGCTTCAGTATTCTAGTGTTCCCCATCTCCTCTCCTTCTTCCCTCCCTCCCTCTCTCCCATCTTTCCTGGCAAAGAGGATTAATAGTAATGTGAGGAGCATCAGCGTGACACACACACAAGCACACTGTGTCCCAACGGCCGTGTTAGGGCACCGGAATCTAACATCCATGACGTAACCGTGGTGACCTACTTACTGTCATAAACTCTAAACTCCACCAACGGACACAAACAAGCCGCCGGGCGGCAGAGTCCTGAGTACAACACATAAACACACACTAAGCTACTACACACTCTCACACTCTAGTCAGTAATCACATAATGGGTGAGAGGCTTTTGCTCCTCAACATTTTGCAGAAAACTTTTGGGTTCAGTTTATATAATAGTGTAGCTACAGTGCATCATCTGTCTCTTGATAAACTAATATGCCTAACACAGTTATAATATAGTACACTAGGCCCAGGCTTCCTGTTATGTAAATATCACATACCCCAATCATCATGGGATAATAAACTAATTTGGCAATAGTATAAAGCTTGTCTCTAAATAGATTAATTGAACCCTTTACTGCAGTGGGCTAAATCAGGGTCACACAGAGTGTTTCTTTTCTTGAAAAGAAAGTATACAACTCACACACATGGTTATGGGCTTAAAAATAAGATATCTAAACCATGTCAGATTTAGAGTTGAAATGTATTACATTTTGAGTTTGCATCCCAATATTACACTTTATATACATCACAGAAGCCTGAAATATAACAAAACCGTTTGACATAGGATTTCCGGCTGCTTAAAAAAATTAATTGTTTACGAATTATGAAATTATGCAAAAAAATGAATAACATTCCACCCATGAGGCCACTAGGTCATTTGACTGCAGGAAAGCTAATGCAGTTAATTCATACATCTTACAAGGTTACATAATATATACTACAGTAGGCTTAGGCTATCTGTTTTGGAAATATCCACATAATCCATCTCATGAGAGAATAAACTAATTTGTCTCAGTTTATACAACACTGCATCAGCTATTATATAAAGGTGTGTCTCTTTATAAAGAAATACATCTACAGAATGAGAATGTCCACTGAGCCCCATAATCATGAGTTATTACTGTAGACTCATTGGTCTCAGGTCAGGTTATGTAACACCATAGAAGCTATGCTGTACAAGGTATGTCTCTTGATAAAAACGAATGTCTAGTAAAGTCATATATATCTATACATACTTATACACACACCCCCCATATACTGTACAGTATATACACCACATATATATATTTATTTATATATATATATATTTTTTTTTTACCCCGTTACATCATGATTAGATTTTTTGTAAACGATCGTCAAGGGACACTAGCTCTGAAACAGTAATGGCTTTTATGTGACCGACTGGGATCCGTCCCAGAATGCACCCCACCACGGCAACAAATGATATAACAGCTTGGAAGAAGAAAACGCCTCTAGAGGAATTTGAGTAGGTTGGCACCTCAGTTACATACTGTCACTGTAAGAAATAGCACAAGCGCTCAGTTTCACTGGAATGTCAGGAACAAGATGATATTTCACAGTATGGTTACGTGATCAACATTATAATTAGTCTATCTATTAGCAATTATGAGTAAGTTATCAATAAATTACGTACAATAATATCAATCAAACGTTCCCAAGTGCTATCTACAAGTCACTTTGATGTGGTGGTAATATTTCACAGTATTCTTACATGATGAGAATATCAGTGACTATGATTAACTAGTATTTATAGGTTCCATTATTAATAATAAATCACTTGAAATAATATAATGAAACACTCCAAGTGCCATTCACAAGTTAATACACCATGATATTTATAGTAAATCTATTGGGAATATGGTAATATATACCCTAAAAGGTGTATTACATATTACATTCTATAACAAGCCTTGAATATAATTACAATAATGAAATCATTGCATAATAAGCAAATCATTAACCATTCATTTCCTCTAAACAAGAATAACAATCACTCAGTCTTCCTCCATCTTGTATCAGTGAATCAATAGATATAGTATAGATCTTAAGACTTAATGGTATTCTGTGAATAAGTTCAGGAATACAGACACCCTATTGTTGGTGATTAGTTACCAGAGAGCTATGGGCTCTATCCTAGCTTATACATTTCCCCTCTGACTGGGCTTACAGATGTTGCCACGGCAGCCAGTCAGTCATAGCAAGGCTGTGTCCCAAATGGTACCCTATTCCCTGTATAGTCCATATGGTTCTGGTCAAAGGTTGTGCACTATATAGGGAATAGAGGGCCATTTGGGACATACTCAAGGTGACATTCCGTCGAGATCCGCAGTGCTTTGTGTATGTAAAGTATAGATAGACTCTACCGCTTCACTTGCCTTCTCGCTCCCTCTTTCCCCCCATCCCTCCCCCTCTCTTTTCTTTCTTTTTTTCAACCTTTTTTTTTTCAAAAGCTGTAGTATGCAGAAGCTTGCGAAAGCAATTCAATGGAAAAGTAGGTCATTAGGGAGGGGCAGAGAGGAGGATGAGGGTTGAGGGAAGAGAAGGGGAATTCAGAGTGAGGAGTGGAGAGAGAGGGAGGGAAGGAAGGAGGGAGGGAGGGAGGTTACGTCACATGCCTCTGCAGTGTAAACTTGGACAAATTCATCAAAAGCAGCTCTCACACACGCTCGCTCTCACACACGCACACACGCGCACACACACACACACACACACACACACACACACACACACACACACACACACACACACACACACACACACACACACACACACACAGGTTGAAGCTGGTCGGTAGAACAATACAGAAGACCAGTGACTCAACCCCTATTACACATACAGCCTCCTCACATTGTACATAGACAAATCACTATGGGTAGAACTCACACACAATGGGTGTTTTTTTAACCTAATGCGAGAGGTCACAGACCTTGTTGACTTCCTGCTATTGTTACTGACGTAACTTCAGCTGAAGTAAAAGCAAAACGTGGGAGACTTTGATGTTCACACTGATACCATCTGATAAGCTCGTGCACGTTTCCGTTTTGATTCGTCTTGAATGAAAGAAATTTGAGAGGTTTGAGGCTAGGGGCAAAAGGCTGTAAGGAGTGCCACCATTTTGGTGCAAAGATGTGTCATCATTGTAGAACAGGCAGGTTGATGTTTATTGTCATGAGTCTTGTCCTGGAGGCAGAACTGAGCTATTGCAAAGTCAAAATTGTCTGTATAGTAAAAATTAATGAAAACAAAAAAATGCTTTTTGGTCTTAATTTAAGGTTAGAGTTAGGCATTAGGGTGAAGTGTGGTTAAGGTTAGGTTTAAAATCAGATTTTTTTGCTGTGCCAGCTAGTGACCATTCTGCAAAGCTGCCTCCAGAACAAGATTCATGACAAAAAACACTAACCCGTGTAGAACAGCCACAGGTGGGATTTGAAATGTTTGCCATGACCAGTAGCAGGAAATTAGGTAACAGGCTTACCACTGTCCCGCCCTGTTACCCTGGGATACGCAGCACTAGAACACTGTTTTCTTTCATCAAGAAATATTATATTCTGCTATTTTTATACTTTCACTCACACACAGGTGTACAGTAGCCTATAATATAGCATTAGTGCCTCTGGTGTGGTTTCTGGGCTCCCGGTCTACCCAACTTCCTGTCTGGAAATACAGTTTAATACTATAGAGCACAGTGCAGCTCTGACTGTAGGTTTTGTTTGTTTGTGTGTGTGTGTGTGTGTGTGTGTGTGTCTGTGTTTGTGTGTGTGTGTGTGTGTGTGTGTGTGTGTGTGTGTGTGTGTGTGTGTGTGTGTGTGTGTGTGTGTGTGTGTGTGTGTGTGTGTGTGTGTGTGTGTGTGTGTGTGACTGCAGAGTATAGAGGTCCGCCCCTGGGCGAAGCGAAGCCAGAGGTCTGGGTCTGAGCCTGTGGTGAACAACACAACCCAGAGTTACATAACCACCACTCTGATGCTGGATGTAGGTCAGAGAGGAGGGCGGGATGGAGGGATGGAATGAGGAGGGAGGGAGGCAGGGAGGAAAAACACAGAGTGCAGGGAGGGTGTATGTTAACACTGTATGTTGGTGAGTGAGTGAGTATGGAGGGGGTGAGGGAGTTAGTGAGTGAATATGGAGGGGGTGAGGGAGTTCGTGAGTGAGTATGGAGGGGGTGAGGGAGTTAGTGAGTGAATATGGAGGGGGTGAGGGAGTTAGTGAGTGAATATGGAGGGGGTGAGGGAGTTAGTGAGTGCGTGTGCATTTGTGTTTGTCTGTCTCCATTTGGGTTTCTACATGTTGTATGGGTGTGACTCGATGCAGGAAAGTAAATTAATCACAAGTAAATGCTGTACTCTATCATGCTGTACTCACTGTTCTATCCCTCTCATATTTCCCTCCTTCTAATCTAAACCAAAGCATGTTCTCTCAAATCAACAATCTTTGCCACTGCCCCATCTTACATGGTACAGGGGTGTATGTTACTCAATAGTTACTTATTTCCAGAACCAACTGTTTCCACTCTCATCTGACTGTCAGGTCATCAGGCT